AATCAGATTGCAGCATTTGCATTAGTATACTAGTAGAATTCTACTAAAACTCGATAGAAACACAGAACTACATGGCAGCACGAGCTGTTGACGTAATGGTGGCGCGAGCAAAGAGAATTTACATTTTGATAATGAAAGTTAACAAGTTGTTTTCCTTTTTTCGTTGCGATGTTTTCTAAAAGAAATGGAAAACATGTTCTCCGTGTTTCTATCGAGCTATAGAAACACTCGTTAAAGTTTGGGAAAACTCGAAAAAGCTGTGGAAACATTCACCTGCGGCTCGTGTTCCCACAGCATTTCTCATTCTCCCAAACTTCCACTCGTGTTTCCATTAAACAATTAGATTATGAGCTCGAGATTTCTATCGCGTGAATTTTTTTGAGTATAAATCTACTAGTCGTTCAAAAGTTTATCTAAATCCTCTACGCTACTCACTATCTATCACAGAATAGATAGACATAGTGGGTAGCGTAGCCAATCCGAGAACGGCATTCGTGATAGGACGCTAGTAGATTTATACTAAAACTCGATAGAAGCACGGTACATGTTCTCTACTTCTTAAATAGTTACAAATACTTTTATTATGATTGTAAATAGATTAATAAGTTTACGATTTACGTTCTTACCTTAGAACAATTTTAACATGTGTACATATTTACATCTCTTATTCATTTATCTATTCATTTATTTTTATTATTATTTAGCTCTTATTAACCGAGCAGGAGGTCTGTATGGGAAAATCTTGATCGATGTCTGCACACGACCGGGGTCAAGATTCTCCCATGTAGACCGACTAACTAAGCTCGGTCAATAAGATGTTTATTATATGGCGCAAAAAAAGAACAATAAAATTCGTTTATTGTAACTGGTTTGTACTAACTGACATTTTGCTTGCGAACGGCGATGAGCTGAATTTAATTCTGCAAAAGTTTGCTCGTCCTCTTTACTTTTTTCTTTCTCATCGAGCTTTTTGGCACTTCCATAAATAAATACTGTTAGATGAAAATAGTCAATGATTTTACATTTTAGTTTACAACTTTTCACTGGAAAACATTACCAGTCTAGGTTGTGGTCTAGATGGGAAAATCTAGACCGCTTAATAATAATATTTGTTATTTCATTTTCCTCATTATTTGATTGTCCACAATTATTTATCGAAGCTAAATACTCAGACACTTAAATAAAGTTAATTCGTTCGTTCGTTCGTTCGTTCAATCATTCACAAGAATTTGTTGCAGATATTGTCGATCTGAAGCCTGAATTGTTACAGGGATACTCAATCGCGTGAATATCATTAAGTCAAATACTGATCTTGTTATGTGAAAAATCAACTTTAAGCAGAAAAGATGATCCTCGATGTTGTTTACTTACCAAACTGTTTTTCTGCTACCTCAGCAGCTTTCACGAGTTCAGACCAATCAATTGTCTGAGAGCATTCGTTATCAGTCGTAGTCTCCTCAGAAAATCTGTGTGGTGGAAAAAAACCGTGCGAAAAAGATCAATATTCGCCTTCTAATAAAGAGTAAATTATGTCTTTGTTACTAATAACTTGAAGCCGCCAAAAAAATTCAAAATAGTAGCTATGATACTTATGACACAAATAAAATTCGCTGGAAAACACGAGGAAACATGTCCGAGCGACTGGTTCCTGTAACAGGTCGCGGGACAAGTCTCTTCGTATGAACTAACCATTTGTGCCAAAAGATCTAGTCGCAAGAACAAAAAAGTGGCCTCTGCTACTTGTCCCACGAATTCAAACTGGTTTGAAATGAAGAGATAAGTCACCATAGCTACTATTTTGAATTTTTTTGGCGGCTTGCATACGGTGGCTGCGCCCACAGTACGAGCGGCGGTCAAAACCGAGCTGTCCTACCGAAACGGCATGATAATGGTCTTTTTCTTCGCAGCTAACGAAAAATGAAGACAATACTTAAGTTACTTTGGCTTCTGCTAATGCTGACGAGAAACAGCATATTTTGTTGTAAATGACACAACTATTTTCCTACTCTACCTGGCGACAGCGATCGAAGAGCAAGTTGCCGAACGCGGGCGACCCATATTTGGCGCCAAATTAAAGCTTGCATGAAGACATAAAACGTTCAAATTTTCCCTTTTCTTAGTCTGATATGTTTTTGCAACTCTAAATCCCTTTTCTTGAGTAATGAATGCCTTCTCTAGTGAGGAACGTTGCCCGTTGTTGTTTCTCTAGGGAGTTAGTGAGTTTTGTTCGTCCTAGAGAGTATCATGTAAAATCGCCTAAATATCTTTCTGGAAATTCTCAAAATTTTTTTCTAAATATCACAAAAAATTTTTCTCGATATCTCGATAAACCATCTAAATATCTTTTATTTTTACTTGAAAAATAAGTCAATTTTGTATCACTTAGGCCAAAATTTTCAAAATTTTTAAAATTTTCTTGCAGTAATAGAAGTCGGCGAGGAACATTCAGGCGCTTCGGAGTTACCAACATCCGCCATTTTGGAAAATTGCTGCTTTAGCGCTTTTAGTGATATGGAATACATTTTTTCAAACGGGAAATTGCTAGACTGGATTGTTTCTGGCAAATAACTGAGTATTGTTTCAAAAAAATAGCGAGGAAAGCACAGGGCTAAGCCAAAAAACGCTATCAATATTTCTAAATATCCTAAATTTTCTAAATATCTTAAGAGTGAATGCCTATAAAAATCGACCTAAATCGCCTATCAATGGCACAAGTCGAAAAATTGATTTCGCTTGTATTTTGCCCATAGATAGGTCC